CCCTGCCGGATGCAGCGTGTTCCTCCATCCCTCCATTCCATCCTCCCATCCATCCCTCCATCTGCTCTCCTGTCCGTCCCCTCCACCGGCTCCTTTCCCGTATCCTGGCCGGGCCGTGCAGGGGGCACCATCCCCGGCGCTGCATCCCTGTCCCGCAGCGTCCCCACACCTTGGCGAAGCCCTTCACCCGCGGCTCAGGTAGCGCTTTAATCCCTGCCCGAAATAGCGCCGTGACGCGGGGCCTCCCCGGGGCGCCGTGCCGGGTGTCGCGGTACCGGGTGTTGCGGTGACGGGTGTCACCATGATGGGTGTCACTGTGCTGGGTGTCGTGGTGCTGGGTGTCACGGTGCTGCCCGGAGCATCGGCCCGGGACCATTGCCCTGCTCCTGGCTCCTTGGTGCTCCTTGCTGCTTTCCCAGCTGCTCCAGGGTTTTTTCCTGCGAGCTCTCCCAGCGATGGAGCAGCTGGAGCAGGTAGCAAGACAGGAAACCTTTGCTCCTTGCCCATGGATGCATCCTTAAAACCCGGGGAGCGAGAGGGTGCTCGTGCGCTCGCATCTCACCTGAGAGCCCCAGAATGGGGATTTTAATTCCTGGATACCTTTTCCTCAGGGGTCACTGGATGTGGGGTGGAGAAGGGAAGGTGCCAGGGAGCTGCAGCCCCCCGGGCCCCCGGTGAAACGGGCGTCTAATCACCTTGAGCATCGTTATCCGCCAGCGACCTGGCTCGCGGCTTTAATCAAGAGCGCTGGCGGCGCTGCAAGATCTGCGGGTTTTAAAGATCACCAGCGGGGTTAGAGAAAATTACCCTTGACTCGTACATGCTAATGTAATCTCTAACCAGATCTGCCGCGCCGCAGCTAAAATTGCTTTTTAGATTAACATTTAATTATTAACGGGGCCCCCCGGCAGGCTGGGGCTGGCGCGCCGGGAAGGTCACGCGCTCGCAGCCCATCCCGCTTCCCTGCTGGTTTCCTCGGCTCCCACACCAGGATTTACCACGGGATGACCTTTCCCGCTGGCTCCTCGTGCCGCTGCCCTCGTTTCCAACCTGAGACTTCCTTTTCCACCGCGAGCATAAATTTCCCGCTCGCTCCCAGTGCCGGGATCAGCGATGCTGGGATCAGCGATGCCGGCACCGTGCAGCCCATGCATGGGTGTCCCGTGTCCTCCCGCTGCTCCGGCCAAGGAGCCCCATCCGTCACCTCATCCCTTTATCCATCCCTCTCTTTTCCAGGCTCCTCACGAGCCAGAAGCCTGCAAGCCACCCGCGCTGCCGCCTCCATCCCGCTCTGCTCCACCGCTCCCGGGGCCGAGCGCCGCTGGGGCCGCCGCACGTCACCGTCCCCCACCCCGTCCCATTTCCTTTCATCTAAATCCCGGGCTGCGGAAGCGTCCGTCGCCAGCTGCGCCCGCTGCCTTATCGCGCCGGCGGGCCCGCGCGGGGCTCCCGCGGGAGATAAGCCCGGCTTATCGGCCCCAGTGTCAGGCGAGGTGCCGCAGCGCGGCTGCCGCAGCCACCGGGGTTCTTTTTATTAAAGTCACAGAGACCTTGGGCTTATAAATAGTCTGATGTAGCGATAGGGCTTGGAATTGAGCAGGCGGCGGCAGGAAGGGCTGGAAAGGAGCCGGCGGCGGCGGGAGAAGGACGGGCAGAGCCGCAGGCTCCGCGTGGCCCTCAGCACGACCGTGCCCGGGTCTAATTCGGTGGCCATGGCCCCTGTCCCTCCGTGCCCGCGTGCAGAGACCTGGCAAACTCGAGGCAGGCTGGCGAAACTGCTGAGCGTTGCCTTTCCTGCTCCGAAAGAGCCAGAGCAGCTTGCGCTAAAGCAGATCCTGCTGATTGGAATTAGCTGCCATGCAGATGGAGCTAACTAAGCCCGCGCTAAGCGTCCGAGCAGCGCGGCGCCCGGTGCCCAGCAGCTGGCACCAGGGCTTTGCGGAGAGCCATTAGGGCAACGGGTCGGGTGTCCACGCGTGCCGTGTGTCCTGGCGGGTCCTGTGTCCCCGTGGGCCGAGGATCCATGTGTGCCGTGTGTGCTGTGTCCCCATGTGCTCTGCATCCATGCGTGCCATGTGTCCATGTGCTCCTACATTCATCCGGGTGCTCCATCCGCACGCGCTGTGCATCCATGCAGAGCTGTATCCACACATCCCTGCCCCCACCACCGCAGTATTCCCGGGCTGGGAAGCGTTAATGGAGAAGGTCCGGGAGGCGGGAGGCCCGGCGCAGGCTGTGCCGAGCGGGGAACCTCGGCAGTTATTAAGCGTGCACATTAATACAGGGTGAAGCTTAGCTTAGCTGTCTAAAAAATTGTCTCTGCTAAGAGCTGCGTGACACCGGGAGACGGGGGCAAAACTGTGATCTGAATTAATCGCTGCCTTTATTTAGTCTGGCATGTGGCTCCGGCGGCTCTGCCGGCAGAGCCTGCGTCAGCGCCGCGCGGCTCGCGAAGCGGCGCCGGCCCGCGGCCCCTTCCCGCTGGATCCGGCGGGGCCGGCAGACAGCGGGATGCTCCCGCCGGAGCGCGGCGGGACGGGGGCGGTGCTGACGTTAGCGCTAATTAGCGCTGATCACCCAGACTGCCGCTACCTGCGGCACGTGTGGCGCGCACGGGGTGACCCGAGGGTGCCGCTCAGGCTGTGCATCCATGGGGATGTGTGTCCATGCGGGCTGTATATCTGCATGGGATGTTGGTCTGTGTGTGCCATGCGTCTGCGTGGGCCTGGCATCCATGTGGGCCGTGAATCTGTATGGGCCTTGCATCCGTGTGGGCCTTGCATCCACGGGGAAGATGCATCTGTGTGTGCCGTGAATCCATGTGGTCCATGCACCTGCGTGGGTTGTGCATGCACATGTGCTGTGCATCCACGTGGGTTGTGATCTGTGCATGCCATGCATCCGATGCCCACGGGGCATGCGTCCACACGGATTATGCATCTACGCATGCCATGCACGCATGCATCACATATAACTGTTTGCACCATGCATCCATGCATGCCATGCGTCCCTACGGGCCATGCGTCCGTGTGCGCCATGCATCCATGTGCGCCATGCATCCGTGTGTGCCATGCGTCCGTGTGCGCCATGCACTCGCGTGCCCCGTGCACGCAGGCGCCGCCGCGAGCTGCCACCGTGCCCGCGCGGGGCTGCGTAACGAAGCCGGTCCCGGCGGAGCGGCGCACGCTAGCGAGCAGTCAAGTGCGCTCGGTCTCTGAATAAGAAGCACTTCATTCTCTTTTCAAACTGTATAATTTCTGCCTGATTGTAATGGCATATTTTAAAATTACCAGAAATCGAAGCCAGAAAATGGATACGGCTGCTTTTACTGCGAGCTGCATTAACAAAGGATATGTAATGCGCGAAATAAAAACACCTCCCTTCCCCCCTCCTCTTTTTTTAAGACAGTAATAGGAGAAAATTGGTTTTGAAACTGAATAAAAGTCCCTTTCAGAGGAAATCATTTCTTTCAGGGTACCTTTGCTGAAAGTAAAATAGTGAATAATGAAAGGTGGTTACATGATTGTCTTTCATTTAGCGAGCGCGAGGACAGATGGAATCTCGCAGAAATGCAAGATTGGAATAATTGCATGGTAACAAGGCGCTTGTTGTGAAATTAGTATCTTAAGAAAGTAGTGAAAAAGGCTTTTACTCATGAATACTTCATTATTAGGAGAAAACAGCACAATTTGGGTGCTCCAGACACCTGCTTGGTGCTAAGTGACTCCCACCTCCCCTCCAGCTCCTCCGGAGAGGCTCTTGCGTGTCCCAACCTTGGGAGCGGCGCAAGGGAAGGGCCGGGAATGGCAGGGAACGAGCCCACGCGTGTCCTCCCGCGTTTGTCAGCCCGGCGGCTGCAGCGAGCGCGTCCCGGGAACGGCTGCCCGCTGCGCGCGGCGCGGAAAGACACCGCTGCAATCGCTCCGACACGGCCGTCGAGCAGCACGCGGGCGTCGCAGCGCGTCGGAGCCCGTCGGAGCGCGCGGGTTTATCGGCGGCGACGGGCCGGGGCGGGCGGCCCCTGCGCGGGAAGGAGCCGGGGACAAGGACGAGGCTGGGTTGGAGGCGCTGGGTAGCGCTTGGAGCGCACGGGGTGCCTCTTGCAGCGGCGCTGGGGCCACCGCGCAGGGTGCTGCTGGCCCTTGGAGGATGGGGGTGGCGCTTGCAGGGTGCTTGTGGCCCTTGCGGGGTCCTTGTAGTCTTGAGGATGCTCGTGACCTTTACAGGATGCTCGTGGTCCTTGCAGGGTGCTCGTGGCCTTGGGGGAAGCTTTTGATACTTGTAGGATGCTCGTGGTCCTTGCAGGATGCTTGTGGTCCTTGCAGGGTGCTCGTGGTACTGACAGGCTGCTCATGGTCCTTGCAGGATGCTTGTGGTCGTTATAGGGTGCTCATGACCCTTACAGGGTGCTCCTGGTCCTCACAGAGTGCTCGTGGTCCTTGCAGGGTGCTCATGGTACTGACAGGTTGCTTGTGGTCCTCACAGGGTGCTCATGGTCTTTGCAGGATGCTCATGGCCCTTGCAGGGCACTCGTGGTCCTTGCAGGGCACTCGTGGTCATCGCAGGGTGCTCGTGGTCCTCGCAGGGTGCTCGTGGTACTGACAGGGTGCTCGTGGTCCTCGCAGGGTGCTCGTGGCCGCTATTTGGAGCCGTGTCCTCCCGTGGCTGCGTGCTGGATGGAAAGGAGAATGGGAAGGCGCTTGTTTTACTGCATCGAGAGCAGAAAGCTTTGCAGTCACCACAAATCACCCACTAAGATGTTCATATTTATTTTATACGCGTTCATATTTATTTAAGGCTTCAGCAGTTATTTATTTATCTCTCAAGGAGCAAAGGCCGGGCGGGTGCCCGCACGCTCGTGGTCGGCGCGAGGAGCCCCGGGGCTGCCCATGGCTCCCGTCACCCTCCCACGGAGCTGCGGCCGGGGCTCGGGGCCGGGGCACGGGGCCGCCTGGGTGCCCTGTGCTCACAGCGTCTCTTGTCCCCGCAGCAGCGGCGGCGTGGCCGGCCGGGACGCACGGACCATGTTGGCGTGTCTGCAGCGGACCCAGAACCCGCCGGGCCAGCACCTCGCCTGTGCCACCAAGGGCCTGGAGCCGCGCAAGGGTAAGTGTGAACACGGCGCAGGGTGAGCGCACGGTGTAGGTGTGCATGGTGCAGTGTGCATGGGGTAAGTGTGCATGGGGTAAGTGCAAATGGTGTAGAGTGCATGGGGTAAGCATGCATGGTATAGTGTGCATGGGGTAAGTGTGCATGGGGTAAGTGTGCATGGAGTAAGGTCTCACAGGGTAAGTGTGCATGGTGTAAGCAGGCATGGTGTAAGTATAGGCAGTATAAGTGCTCATGGTGTAAGTGCCCACAGTGTAAGCATGCACGGTGTATGTGTACGCAGTCTAAGCACACATGGTGTACGTGCACACAGTGTAAGTGCACACGGTGTAAGTGCACATGGTGTGAAAGCACATGGTATAAATGCACAGTGTAAGTACACATGGTGTAAATGCACAGGGTGTAAATGTACACGGTGTAAGTGCACATGGTGTAAAAGCACATGGGGCCCGGCTGGGCCGGGGGGCTCGGCACAGTGCCCACCCTCCCTCCCCACTTGCTGCTTTGATGCTCCTTGTCTTATTGAAAAAGACATTTATTTAACCGATAATTAAAAAGAGCAGGGGAAGCAGCGGAGGGGGGAGGAGGAAGGAGGCGAGATAAGCAAATTAAATTGGGTTGCTGCGCTCGATAAGTCGAACTTCAGAAAATCTCGCGCAGATGCCTACAAAGAGCCGCGGCAGACAATGCGCCGGCACCTGCTCCGGAGCCTCCCAAACCTCTCCCGCTTTTCCGCCTCCTTCCCTTCCCCCCTGTAATTGCTTCCCGGCTCCGCCGTTCCCCACGAGCTGGCCTTTCAGATAAGCTGTAAACTAGTTACATTAAAATGGGTTGCAAAAGGTCACTCCAGCAAAGCACCTGTCTCTCCCTGCCTTTGTCTCTCAATCCAAACCATGATTAAATGTATATTTAATGAGGCTGCTTTAGGCAGGCGTGTTTGACCTCCCCGGCTGCGGAAGGCGCATTAAGATTCCCGAGTGATGAATGTGTGTTTTAAAGAGGGGAGTGGATATTTTTCTGCTGGTCTCAGTCGGATTTTTAAACGTTCGGGGCTGAAGACGGATCGGCTGCCGACGCGCGGCTCGTTAGTGCCCACGGCTCCGGCACGGTGTCGCCAGCCGGATTTTCCCCGGGACGGGATTGCCCTCCGCCCAGGTGCTGCTGCCGGCTGCTCGGCCAGAAGCTGGGGTTGCATTTCCAAAATGCCCACGGTTTGTGCCCCGGGAGGTGGTTTGCAGGCTTCAACATGACCCAGTTGAGCGTTACCTGGGACGGGGGCTCGGGCAGGGGCCCCGAGTGTGCCGACGCCGTGCGGGAATACTGCATTGGAGCCGGCGGCATGGGATGCTGCACCCTGGCACTGCACCCTGCGATTCCAGGGAGTGCTGCACCCCACGATTGCGGCTCCCTGTCGCAGGACCCTCCTCCGCGCGCTCCCCGCAAGCTCCGTCCCGCTCGCGTCCCCCACGGCCAGGTCACCTTAATCAAAGTCCATCCGAACAGTCCATTCCCGCTCGGCGCAGCGTGCGCCGCGGCTCTCCTGCTCCTTCTGGATTCCACACCAGATCCAGGTGCCGCCCAGGGCTCTCCCTGCTCCTCCCGGATTCCACACCAGATCCAGGTGCCGCCCAGGGCCGCACATCTGCTGGGCTGGATAATTGTCCCTCCCGCGCAGACGGCACCGGCGCGGGGCCGGGTTTCCTGGCGCCCGCGGAGGTAATGGGAAAAGATGGTGCTCTCTTAAAACGAGACACAATTTAGAAGTGCCTCTGATTACTTAATTTGCTCCTGAGTATCTCAGTAATTATCTTTATGGGTCTTATTCCTGTCCTCCGGCGTCGTGGCTGTCGATTTTAAATGAGTCTGGCTCCCGGCACTTTGGCCGTCTGGCCCAGCACCGCTGTGAAATCCCATTATCCTGCCCACGCCGCTGATTAATTTTTGTATTAATTTCACCTAAAAGGTGAGAACACGGAGCCTGCCGGGATCTCCAGCCCCGGGGTCTGGCCCCGTGCGGTGACTTGGCCCCTCGGCCATCGCTCCCTTTCCCCCTTCCCTCCGGGTGCGTCTCCCACGGGAGCTGCTCTGCCCAGTGCCGCTCCTGCTCCCAGCCCTCGCCAGATCCCCTGGAAAAAGCAGCATCCTCAGGAAAACATCACATCCAATTAGCTCTGGCAGGCTGGTCCCTTTTGATTTTATTCCGTGTGCATTACAGGAATCCTGAGCTTTATTTAAATTATAAATCAAATAATACCGCTCTCAGCTCGGCCAAACTCCTTGCTGCTCTCGCTCTCTGCAGCAACGTAGCAGTGGTTTATATTTAATTAAATGTTACTTCGTCTGGGCGCCCCTCCTCTCGGCTCCGTGTGCTCCGTGCTCGGACCGGGCGCGATGGATGCTCCGCACGGGGCGATTCCTGCCAGCCCAGCCTGGCAAAATCACACAGTTCATGTGGCACAGGGATTTGTTCCTGGACGGGAGGTTTAGGCCAAGCGGCTCCATTTCCACAGGTTGCTGGCTCCGTGGCTGGTGCAAAACAAGCCCAAGACCCTGACCTGCTGCTTCCCACATTGATTGGAAAACCCACCGTGCATGGGAAAGGGCTTCTTGCTCACCGGCTCTTTGGGTGAGTTTTCATGGAGCAGGGCCACAATGCAGGCATGGAGAGCCTGGCCCGAGGATGGAGATGTCACCGGCCGCTGCGGTCGGAAGCCCGTGGCTCGGGTGCCGGGCAGGCTCCGGGCACCAAATCCATGCGTGCGGATTTCCGAATGTTGCTCAGTTTGGGCTGGTTTGGGCTGCCCTGTGTTGCTCATTCCATGCGATCCACATGGTCCAGGCAGGTACAGCCTCTCCCCAACCCTCCCTCACGCTCCCGAGATCTGTGCAGGGACACGGATGGAGCGCGGGAACCAGCCGAGCTCATTAGGGGCTGGGAAGAGGAGCAGGGAACAGGAATTAGCAGCCCTGCTCCTGCCTGGATTTGTTCCACCAGCGCTTCCCGCGAGCAGCTTATTTGCGGGAGTCGTGACAGCCGGAGCCTCGCCGGGCAATTCCCAGTTGTTCTATTACCGCTAGAGTCGGGAGCTCCGTGCTGCACCGGGCGGGAGGTCACGGAGCCGGGAACGGCGCCTGGCAAATGAGGCGCGTCCCGGCGCACGGGGGGATATTCGACATTCCCTGTCCTGCCTCCTCCGCAGAGCCGACCGGCTCCGGGGGGACGAGCGCACGTGGCCCTGCCCTGGCCATGCTGCTTGTACCAAGTGATCTGTGCAGAGCATCCCCGAGCATCCCAGCGGGAATGGCTGGAACCCTGTGGGCCCTTGGCCAGGGATTTGGCCGGCGTGCAACCTGCTGTGCCTGGAGCTCAGTGTTTCCAGTTGGGAAGAGCCAGGCAGGACCGTGGATGGGATGCACGGCTGCAGGGACAGCGTGTTCCACACCGGGCAGGATGATGCTGGCCAGTCCCCATGCTTGGGGACACGGATCCGTGTGGACTCGGCACGCGGCTTTCCGGTGCCCCGGCTGCCCCCGGGCGCTCCGGGGCTTTGAGGGCTCCGTGGGCGGCTGCTGGGAGCGCTGACGCGGGAGCCGGGCGAGCGGATTAGGGGCCCTGCACGTCTGCAGGCGGCTCCGTCAGAGCCGTGGGCCGCGCCGGGATTGCGGGGCCCGTCAGGGGACAGGGGCCATCGCTGCCCTGCACCACTCGGAGGGTTGGCTGGATCCCACAGGATGTTCCAGGCGCAAGGAAGGGCCTCGGGAGCCACCACAGGTCGATCCCATCTCGGCTCCTGGTCTTGCTTTGGCGGTCGCTGCTTTGGGTCGGGGCGAGCGGGTCGGGGCTGTGCGCTGCCGCTCGCCCCGTGATAAAGTTCTTTAATTGCGAGCGGGCTGGGACCGTGTTTAATGGCCTCTCATTACGCAACCCTACTGATTCCAAGGGCATTTTCATTAAGGGAGCTGCGGCACAAGCCTCGCTTTTGTACACACCCATAAAATATCATTTTAATTTCATGAGGGGTTACACATGAGTGAAATAAGATTAATTCTTTCATTTCCAGTTTCTGGAAGGGAATCTGTTAAAGCCAGGCCCCTGCATTTATACGCTTGCCATAAAGAGGAGTTCGATTAAATCCCATGCCCAAAACGTGCTGCGGACCAGGACTTTCCTGGCCAGGACACGCTGCAAAGCCCCTTTCTGCCTGGCCCTGTGCGCGGCCGGGGGCGCGGGGCACAAGGCTTCCCGATGCCTTTGGAACGGGGGTTCCGCACCGGAGCTTTTCGGCACGCTGGCGGGTGCAGGTGTCAGTTTGGGGCTGCCGATGCTGGAGTTGGGGCTCCCAGCGTTGGGGCTGTGGGGTTTGGGGCACAGCCCACGTGTCCTCTCCCGGCAGCCCCGGCACGAAGCGGCTGTGTTGCAGCACGGGCATTCGGGCATTTCTTTGGCATAAATCCCCTTTCCCAGTGATGTGCGGAGGGCGGGCGCAGGCTGCAGCGGTGCCCGGGGCTGCAGCACGTCGGCCTCACGTGTCGCCGACGCTCCCGAGCAGCGCCACGTTTCCCATCCCACCTTGGCTCCCATGTGGAGCGCGCGGCTCCCGCCCCCGCTCCGGCAGCTCCGGCGGCTCCGGCGGCGCTAATACCTCGCCGGGGAGACAAATGGGAAGTGACACGTGTGTGTGTAGAATGGTATTTGCGGTGACGCGTTGACTGCAGATAATAAAGTGCTCGCCCGGAGGTGATCCGGCGCGGCGAGCGCCCGCGCTCCCGGGAGGCGCCCGCCGCCACGTGGGATCTTCTCCCGCCGCCAGCGTGCGGCTGGATTTGCCGGTGCCCTTTTGGATGCAGTGGTTAATGCCCGTGTGGGGCTCTGCTCATCCAGCTCATGCCCGGGCACATTCCAGGCCATGGCAATCCCGCCATTCCTGCAGGATTTAAGTTGTTCGGGCAGGGACTGGAGTGGTGTCCCCGAGTGTCCCCAGGGGTGCAGCGTGCTGCTTCCCGGCTACACACGGAGCTGGGAAGCAGGCGGGAGCTGCTGGTGCTTGAATGGAGAGAGCGATGCGCGGGTTCGGAGAGCACCGGTGTCCGGCAGCCGTCCCCACCGGAATGGAACGGCACGGCCAAGGCCTCGGGCTCCCCCACATCGAGGCATTTTGCATGGATTTTCTGGCACGGAGCATGGCAGGGCTGAAGCTCCCCCGCTCTGTGAGCAAAGATTTATTCCCTGTTGCAGAATTGCTGGGGTCCAGGATTTAAATCTGTGTCTTGAGCCGAGTTTGGTGGCCAATTTGCTAAAGTAAAAAGTTGTTTAGCTGGAGGCGTAATCTTATAAGCCTATGCTGCCATTATAATGGCTTCTCATTTCTGCCGAGCTTTCCAATAATGCTCTGAGCAGAAGCTTGGAGTAATATAAAAAGCCATAGGATTATTACTGCGGGCGATGCATTTTCCATTTACAGTAATAAAATACTGAAGAAACAAAACAATTTAAAATTCCAATAAAATTCAAAACAAATCTTTGGCTGCTGAGCAGATTCAATTATTTAGCTGTTATTGAGTGCAGGCTGGGAAAATAGAGCAGGTCAGGAGGGGGGGCGCCCCGGCCGCCTGCGCGCCGCTATCCGGGGAGGCAGCGAGCGGAGCGGGATGTGACGGGAACCGCCAGCCCCACGCGCGCAGGGAGGGGACAGGGACGGGCATGGGGACATGCTGGGTGCCCACAGCAGCCCCGGCTGCAGCATAGGTGAGCAGGAGAGATGCAGCGGGCTGCACCATGCAGCGCTGCACCATGCAGCGGGCTGCACCATGCAGTGCTGCGCCATGCAGCGGGCTGCACCATGCAGTGCTGCGCCATGCAGCGCTGCACCGTGTCCTGCTGCCCTGCACCAGGCTGCGCTTGCATGATGCAAACTTGGCCCTCGGCTCAGCTGCTCCATGCAATCCCAGCCATTCCCGGCGTCAGGATCCGAAGCCAGTGCTGCGGCTCTGCATGGCAGCGGCTCCATGGGGGCTGCTCCGTGTGGGAGCCCTCCTTGCAGCAGCAGCCACGGAGCTGTAAAAGTGAAGGTTGGTAAAGCGCAGAGGGAGCCGCTCGCTCTCCTCCTCCTGCTCCTGCTCTTGCTCCTGCTCCCGCTCCTGCCGGGCGCGTGGCGGCCGCAGGGCCGTGATGGCTCCGTCGGGAGGCGGGACGCGGTGGGCAGCGCCCGTCTGCGCCTGTCGCTGCCGCCGGGGCCGGGCGCCGGAGCCTCCCGCAGTAATTACAGCCCGTTGGAAAGCAGTAATTACTCGGCAGCGCAGGGCCGGTGCCAGCGAGCGCCGGGAGCCTCCCGCGGAGCGGCAGCGCTGTGATGTTCCCGCTGGCGTCACCCTGGTGTGACAACACGCAGCGCGGAGCGCTTGTCACCGCGGCTGCCCCGCTCCGGCGGGACGCGGAGCTGGCGGGACGCGGAGCCGGCGCTCCCGGGTCGGGGCTGCCGCCGGGGCCCCTCGCGTCACCTCCCGCACTTGTTTGGGGCTGTTTCTGCCCGGAACGGAGCCTTTCCCTCCCTCTGCGCCCTGCCTTCGTTAGGGATGCTGTGAGTGTCTGGCTAATTAGCGTCACGTTAATTGAGCGCTCGCGCTGCCGCCACCTCCAAGGGCAGCGGGGCTGGCATGAAGGGGAATGCAGATGTGTGGCGGGATGCAGGCCCGGCTCGGGCAGGACAGGCTGCTCCTGGCCCGCGGGAGCATCCATCCATCCCTCCATCCATCCAATCCATCCCTCCATCCATCCATCCATCCAATCCCATCCTTCCATCCATCCACTCACCCATCCATCCATCCATCCATCCATCCATCCATCCATCCATCCATCCATCCACCCATCCACCCATCCACCCTTCCATCCCACCTTTCCCAGCAACTGCATTAAATCCTGCTCCAAGGCCCACCTTTAATTGCCTTAATACCCTCGTTAATAACAACACCTGTCTGAGACACCTGGAAGAGCCCGTGCTGGTGTCCCGATGGAGCGGGCGCCGAGCGCGGCCCTGCAGCGGGGCTCGTCCCGGGGCGCGCGCCCGCTCGCCGAGGTTTTAAACACCTAATTTATTCCATCTATTAGATAGATTTTGTAGATTTAATCATTTTCACAGTTGGTGGCTCATTGGATACTCAAGATAAACTCCAAATGAAAGTATAATGGCGACGACAAATGAGTTTTCACACCAGCGTGGCAGAAACTTGCTCGGGAAGGAGTTTGAAAGGAACAAAAATATATACATAGAGGGCTTTTTTTTCATGGAGGCTTTTGCTGACTACAGTAGGTTACCACAGTTAATTTCACCAGTTTTGTTCATCTGTAAAATTGCATAAAAGTGACATTTTTGTGCTCATTACGGGAACTGCTGATTTATGGCTGGTAAATGGAAGGCTGCGCCGTTTTTGGTGAGGTTCTCGAAGCAGCGCAAAGCACCCATGAAATTGCTTGTATAATGTAGTTTAAATCCAATCTCGGAGAAAGATTCCCCCGTTGGGTAAAGTGACATTTCCATTCTCCACACTGAGTTTATTTTAGGCCACTTAGAAGTGACTTTATATGAGAGCGGGGGCAGGTCTGCGCTGCGACCTGGTTTACGGAGTCAGTGCGCTCTCCCCAGGCACCGCTTCCCAGCTGGGAGCCACAGAGTGCCCGGAGAGAGGTCGGGAATGCCGGGAATGCTGAGGCGGAACGGAGGGAGCGAAAGTGGCCCGGAGGCTCCCTGCTGCCCCTTTGCTGATGCCTCTGGCCTGCAGCACAGGGCTCTGCTCCGGGCCTGATGCGTAGGGCCTAGGGCAAGCAAGAACATGGCATAGCAAGAGTGCTCAAGAGTGCTGGCATGTGGGTTTTGCACTGGGGTGTGTGTTTGCACTGGCACTCAGCTTTGCACCAGTGCGTGCATTTGCAAGAGCTCCTGTGCGTGCATTTGCACTAGGACATACATTTACACTAGCCCTGGTGCCTGTATTTGCACTGGCCCCTCTGCATGTATTTGCATTAGCCCCTGTGCATACATTTGCACTAGCCCCTGTGCATACATTTGCACTAGCCCCTGTGCATGCGTTTGCACCAGACTCTGTGCATGCGTTTGCACTGGCTTCTGTGCATGCATTTGCACTAGCACTAATTCCTGCATTTGCACTAGTCCCTGTGCATGCATTTGCACTGGCTTCTGTGCATGCATTTGCACCAGCACTAATTCCTGCATTTGCACTAGCCCCTGTGCATGCATTTGCACT